GTTGCATATTTGCATAACGTATTCAAGTGTTACCATTTAGTGCAATAGTAGCTACAGAACATGTACTGTGCTGTGTAAACTGTACTGTATCACATAGCGTTTCAGACACACAAACTTTTCAACTTTCAAACTTAAACGGTGCGCTCCCAGCGCACGTACTGGCAGTGATCTACAGCAGTGGTTTTCAACCAGTGGTACGGGGACAAACTGTCTCGCTCTCGTAATGTCTGTCTGTCTTGCTCTCGTTCTGTCTCTCGTACCACTCTCGGTTCCCCTTTTACTTTTGCGCGCTACCTGTCTCACTCTTTTCCGGCCTCCAGCTTTTCCTGCTGGACCCCGCCGCTTAAAGGTGGGGGGCGCGGACCGGCCATAGAGCCCATAGAGTTAAAGGTGGTGGACTGTAACCTGTAAAATCCATAGATTTAGGAGGTCCCCTAGTGGCCGTTAGCTGTAAAAATCCATAGATTAGCCGCACCGTTATATAAACCGCAGCATCGAAAAATGGGGAAAAAGGCGCGGCTTATAGTCCGAGAATTACGGTATATGTATTACTTTGTGTTGCCAGTGTGTGAACAGATTGTAACTCAACTGAAAGACGTTCCGACATTTCTGTGTTTCCTTAACATGTATGTGAGGTTGTTTGCTGACTAACTTTGGCTAGCTTGTTGGCTATCATTATTGCTAGCCAGAAAACATGATTCATACTGCTTACTTATTGATTATGACAAGCGGTGTCAAATTTAGCCAATAACAAATGCAGACCAGATGAAAGCAAAGGTGAAAAACTAACAATGGCTAACTGTGACGTAAGCTAGGATAAGGTTAGCCGGCTAACTGTAAACCAAGCTAAGCTAAGCTTAGCCAACTAGCTTTAACTTACCCACCAGGATCTGGCGTAAGTTGCTTCATAACGTAAGCTGATGCAGTAATTTGCTAACACCAAGCTATTAAATATCATGAAGCACATTACAATATTCAAACATTACGGATAGTGACAATATTTTAAATATAATATGTAATTTGGATTTTATGTAACATACTGTTTTGGCCAATGCCCAGGATGCTCACTCACATACCTTGAGCATGTACACGACCTTGAGCATATGCAAGAGCATCAGGAAGCCGTCTACAGTTCACTTAATTGCGCCCTTACAATTATTGCAAGGGTTTTCTATAAATGTAACATATTACCTTTTCAATGATGTGGCACATCAGATGTGTGAAAACAATGATAACACAACAACCAGTCTCTAATATGGCTACTGAAGGGTGACTCAGGCTTTATAAAACACTCTGAATAAAGCTTTCAAGTAAGAGTTGCATAATGTAAAACATGGTTTTCACCAAGCACATCTTTGCATAAGCACCTGCATATTGCATAACCACACAAGACTTCTAAGCTTTAGCCACGAGTTGGATTCTATTTGCTGCTCAGAGAGAATATCTTTCCCTAATCCCAACAATTAATGTGTAGCTCTCATCTCTCCGGCAGTGAGATGGGGAAAAGCACTTTTCTATGGCACATGTTTGGATATTAAGCAAAAGAGTAGTGCAGGAATGAGTCCCAAACCGGGAAACTAGCATTTTGGCACTTCCTGGCTCCCTAGTCTCAAAGTCAATGGTAGATTCGAGATTTAATTTTCTTCTACGACACAACATATCTAAATACCCTACTGGTAAACATCTGAAGCTTTGACAACTAAACCAAGCACACCAAACATGAGTCTGACGTTAACTTAGCGGTGTTGACGCACCATGTTTTTATTTTACAGCCTAATGTTAGCTTTTTCTTTGGGGGATTGCATTTATGCTTCAGAAATTATAAACGTGGTGATTATCCTGCTGGAAAAAACATTTAAGTGTCAAATACATGTGTTTGCCTCAGACTGTTTTTCTGCAATATTCCAAAATCCTAAGAAATCTTTTTTTTGTTGATGGAGCCCTTGCAATACTAACTTGATACAAAAGTACGTCATCACTAGACCACTCTATTCATTGTACCATAGCTAAAGATTTCTGAGTTCAGTTTCTGAAGGTTTCCCCCTACCTTACAAGGAAGGGATGTAATATTAAACATGTTTGTGTGTGTTTAATCCACAGCGCCCTACAGCGGACGGGGTGTTGAGGGACGGCCACCTGAGTCTGTCTGGCCTGCAGATGAGGGCCCACGCCATGTTCTCCGCTCAGGGCCTCTCCATGAGCAGTGATACGCTGGAGTACGCCTGGCTCATCGACATGCAGGCGGGGGGGCTCACCGGCAGGGTCACTCTTCCACAGGTGTGTGTGTGTGTGTGTGTGTGTGTGTGTGTGTGTGTGTGTGTGTGTGTGTGATCATGGGGTCAGATGTGGGGGAGGGAATGTGTGAATGTGGTAAGCTGTCTTGAATGAAGCTCCTATTTAATACAATCAAACCTTTCTGAATTTAAATCACTCATTTATATTTGTGTCGGAACATTTCATATGCTTTGTCTCGGTTTGCGTTCTTCTATACATGCATTTGCTGCTTTTACGGAAGAATGCAATACGAGTATCGGAGGATGGGCTCATAACGGTCAAAACATTTAGTGTGGAAACACTGGACACATCTCACACTCAATGATCGCTTTCTTGGCTACGTTACAGAAATTACGCATTCATCTGCGATTGCTGTTGCTCCGGTTAACGCAACACTGTGCAAATAAAATGTCAACTTTATGTAACAAACCACTATACTGGTGTCATTAAAAGGCCACCCATTTCTTTATAGGGTTAATAGCTAGTTGCTGTTAATTGCTATCTGTTAGCTAGTTATCTCGATTCAAGATTCAGCTAACTAGCCACCTTAGCATTTTTGCTCTAGCAAGCCCTCAGCAACCATCATCTCTCCCGGTGAGAGGACAGCAGCTCTGTGCATTTTGAGACATTACCGTGTTGAAATTCACGCACTGCATAGAGGTTTACAGCGCACAGCATGGCAGTGTACTAAGGGAAGTATCCAAATGTATTTATAATATGGCAATAGTGTTTTAGTGTTATAGCTTGTGCTGGTGTTTCATTTGATAGATTTTTATTCTGTGTATTTATTTATTGATTGTTTTGAAGTTCTAATGTCTCTGTGTGTTCTTGTGATTATTAGGTGGCAAGTATGATAGAGTGGGGTGAGACCTTCCTCTTCCATGGGGTGTCCCGAGAGTTCCAACTAGAACAACCCAAGCCCTCTGTCATCTGCCAGCACGGCGTTGACCGCCGCACCTGCGATGCCAAGGTAAAAACAGGCTGTAAAAGATAAAATACTGCACACACACTGAGCCTCATTACTCCCATGTTCAATGTATCTGCTGTAGCTGTCTCACATCGGTTTGAACTAGTTAGCAGCCATGTGTGTATGACTCCACTAAATGAGCTCATTACGGCTAAAGGCATTTTTGGTGAGATTTGAATGTTTGTCAGAGCCGTCCAGTGTGAAGGGAAATGTGCAAATGACACCAGATAATAAAAAGAGACTACTGTGAACTTTTGTCTAACGATGCATGACTTGCACACTCAGCTAGAGAAACTGCCCGTAGCCACAGCCTCCAACACAGAAACTATTGATGTACTCGCATAGCATACCATAAATAACTTTGAAAGAAAACAAGTCTGTTTCACAAAATGTCTTGTTTGTATGCGAATACTAACAAGGGTATTTTTAAAATCTCTGCCCGAGAGCCCTCATTAGTGTCTGACAAGCGAGCTGCTGTGGCTACAGGCTATGTATCGCTATGTAAAGCACAGCCAGACTAAATTAAAGATAGCTTCCCTGCAACCATCGAAAGGTTTCTGGTCCTAAATTATGTTTGTGTTTCAGCTGAGCTGCCTACCCGGGCACTGTCGCACATCAGAGGAGCTGAAGTACACCATGACCCGACTGGCCATGGATGGGGTCGACCTCTTCGTCGTGGAGCAAGGCTGTGCTGCCAATGTCAAGGTAATTAGCACCGACTGTTTATGAATTGTGAATAAGGTAAAGATATATTTTGACCTAACCTAATGGTTATGAAACTTTGACTCATTGAAATCCATGTACATATTTCACGTTTTCTTTCCTCCTTCCCAGACGGCTAACGTTCGGGTAGCTAACTGCAACCTGCACAACCAAGCCGTGGGAGAAGGCATCAGTGCAGTGGTGCAGGACGTGAACATCCGGCAGTACATCGAGCAGCAGCAGCACAGCGAGGCCGCCCGGCTGCAGACAGCTGGCCCGGGTCAAGGTCTGGGTCAGCCATTAGGTCTGGGCCAGCCCCCCCTGCTGCGGCGCTCTGTCTGGCTGGAGGCGGGTTCGGTCAACCTGAACCTCATCACAGCAGACATCGCCCTGGCCGCTGACCACTCGGCCAAATGTGAAGTGCAGAGGCATTTTCTGGAGCTTCATGATGCACAGACCAAAAGGTAGAAAAAACAGTTGTGCTTGATATGTCTGCATGACTGGACAAAGTCTTTATATACTTCAGCTCCCCCTTCTCCTCCTCTCCTCAGACTCTGGTTCCTTTGGCCAGAAGACGTCAGCATTCGCAACAAGCGTGGCAGGAACCGCTGCGGCTGTCTCGGAGGCTGCCGGTTCTTCGGAGGTACCAACATGGGCCTGGACTTCTTCAAGCTTGAAGAGCTGACGCCGTCCTCCTCATCTGCGTTCGGCTCTTCCAGCACGGAGCAGGACATGTCTTACGGCCAGTCTTTGCTACAGCCAGGGGAGTGGATTATTACCAAGGAAACACCCAAAGTGGATGGTATGCACATGCAATATATATCTATACACATTTCCTCACATAAAGTGGGGCAGGGATAATGTATTGTTGTAGGCTGACCCGGAAGTTCCTCCTTCGAAGGGCTCCTTCGACGAAAAGTTATGAGATTTTTTTAATTTTGGAATACTGCATGAAAACATCTCTGTAAAACACATTTACACCCCTCATATACCGCAGAATGACACGCAAAGGCTTCGGACATTCACAGATATTTTTCGAGGCCTCTCACAAAAGACACTTTCAAAATAACTTTGAGGCATGGGTTCAGGAAGTGGTTAAATGCTAACTCCCTTCCGGGTTTTAAGACTCATTCCTGCACCACTCTTTACCACAAGCTAATGTTGTTAGCAAAGTTAGCCCAATATATGTCGTTTAAGCTAACATTTTATAAATGAAAATACATGTCTGCAAGTATTAACAGTTACTTAACCAGATATATGTATTCTCAGGGAGAGTTGTGGGCCTGAAGAGGGACATGCACTCGCCCTGCCTGCCTCCTGAGCTGCCGGAGAGGCGCGGTCAGCAGCACCTCAGTCTGCAGGTGCCCCATCGCTCCCACAGCTCCGTCTCCTCCTCTGAGGAAAATAGTTCTTCCAGTGCTGCGCTGCCCCTGCTGGCCGGAGAGAGAGACACTCCCTCACCGAGCACGGAGGAACGCATGTTCCACGTGAACTGCAAAAGTCCTGCTGAGTGAGTAACATCAACAACATATTGTAAATTAAAGAGCATTTTCACTGCAGTTACACTTTTAAGTGGCATACTTAGGATTAAGTCCTGGAAGATTTGGTGAAAAACTCTTTACTGGTGGCAGGGGCGGATCTAGAAAAATATTCAAGGGGTGGCAAGAGGGTGGCAGGAGATTTTGAGGGGTGGCATCCCCTGGCAGAAGTATATGCTGATTTAATCGCAGTCATATCAATCAATGTTAACTTGGAAAGCCACAATATTAATATTTTAACTCAATAACATAGGTGACATTATTGTGGCACATCAGTAAAGCCTTTCATATAAATATATAAGGTGGCAGACATAATTTAATGAATTTTAACTGAACAATAACTGAATGAGTTTGTTTCACTCTTAGACCAGCAGGGGTACCAAATATGCAGACTGCTGCAATAAGTACATTAATTAACTGTCTCATCGATGTTTGTCTGTATGAATATGATACTATTAACAATCATATTATTCCTATCAGCTGTCAATCACTGTTATGATTCACATATTCATTTATTATTGAATAAACTATATTTTTTGGAGGAGTTAATGATGAATGTTCCTCAAGATGCTTACTCCCCTCCTTCAAATTTGAAAGACCAGTAATTACTATCAAAATTCAAAAGAATCAAAATAACAGTTCAGCGCCCCACAACTTCATTGCAAACAGTTACAACCTTGACTTTACATCAGAAAGAACAAACATTAAACCAATGACTAACTGCATCAATTAGGGTTAAAACAATGTGTATTCAGCTAAAACATATACATCGCTGCAGTTATGGTCAGGTGGAAAGTCCTTACCTACTTGCCTAGTTAAATCAAAGCGGTTACTTTTTTTTGGCTGGGCAGTGAAGTTTTACACAGCGTCTTATTTGACTTTCTCAGGACTTGAGACTGTTTTTTGGGGGCAGACCCCCACAAAGAAGA